TTTGGCCTTTTCTGAAATACATTTGTGTTTTTCTGAAATACTGTTGGAAAAGGTGTAAACAGGTTACTGGCTAATGACTACTCTTATCCATTAGTTCATCGTAGCGTTGTCGATGAATCCAAATAATCTGCATAGAGAGCTTTTTGATACTCATTTCCAGAAAAATTCTGAAGAAATGTTAAATCTATTTCCAAGAAATTGTGCCGGAGCTTACAAAATAGCGAAATATATTTTCAAAGTAGGAATAATATCATGGACATTAGGATTATTTTCGCTTTACAAAAGCCCAAGTCGAGACTACATACTCTCGAATATTCTGCAAATAGCGGACAATGCTATCAGCCGCTGGCTTTTACCAATTTCAGAAAATTTTTTAGTCCATAACTCCATCTTTTAGGGGAGTTGAAGTACCTAATTCTTCCTCAAAATAATACGTAAGTACAAACATACATATGTGCGAGGACGATTCGATGTGACGGCGCCTCATGAAATCTTTATAACAGTCGAGAGATCTCTCGAAATTAGGCAGTATACTCTGGCGCTTTCTTCGACATACTTCAACAATGTCCGTACAGAATCTACCCATAATCAGCAGCATCGTGGAAGGAGCTCTAAGAAATTAAACCGATGGGCTGAGCAATGCCATCATAGAGTCGAACCAAACTGATGTTTTTTAAGGATGGAAATAAACATTTCCGCCGTGTTATCACATGATGGGAGCCAAATTTCTTTTAGTTAGTACTATGATATCATAGAGTCACCACGAAGAGAGAAGCAACAGCGGCCGATTTTTTGTTTTTATACCCACCGCGTTCTAGTAAATAATACAGCAAAAATTCAAATACAATACCGAGTTCAACATGAAAATTACCCAGTGACTATAATCGAGTAACAAAATTATTACGGCCTTGTAACTCTACGGATGCTAGGGGATGTGAGAGAATCACTGAATCGTGTTACGCAGAGATATTACACTTACCTGATACATTCCTGTAATTGAAAGGCATGTAACACATAGCATCTAAATACCAAGCAAATTAGCTGACTAAAAATTAATTAAAAACAGAAATATTTTATGTTTAAATGTTTATTCAGCATAATTTTTATTTACTTTAATTAGTTGCTTATAATACATAATTAAATATTCTTTTATTTTTTACTCTTTACAAATACAATTAACAGCCTTATTATTAGCAATCGTACATATTTTGTTTTTTTATTCGTCTTTTTATATTCGTTTTTGCCCAAAAAGGTGGAGGGTTGGTTTTTTAGGGGGACTCTTTAAATTACAAATTACATAATTATAGTTGAGTATGACGACAATACGTTTGTGTGGCCTTCGTCGACAATTTTCAGATTGCGTGCACTGGCGCTTTGTTTGTTTTCTTGTTTTATTTTATTTTCTTTTGTTTGGTTTTGTTTTGTTTGCGTTTGCATGATTGATTTGTTGCAACGTGTCGTGCTCGCCAACTATTTGCTACAAACGGCTAAATACCAGGAGCGGGTGGTGGTTTAGAAAGTACAAACATTCTAGCTACGCATGTGCATATGTATGTAGGTATGAGAATAGGCATTTACAGGACATGAAGGAGTTTCTTTTACAATGATGAATGCCCTGCACTTTTGCTTCGTTGACATCATAATTTTTTTCATTTTTTTGTTATTTATTTATTTACTATTTTACGTAGTTTGCAAGTAATAATTATTTTTAATTTATTCATTTATTTTTAATGTCGTAGATTTATAATAATTTAAATATTTTTTTTTCTCGCAAAGTGCTTGCGTTAAATTTGCATGGTTCAGTGGTGGCATGTTGCTGCAATAAAATTCTATTCTATAGTATAAATGCCGGAATTTTGGCAGTTGTCGTTTTAATTACACCTGTGTCAGTTATTTAATCGCTTAAGTTATTCGTTATTTATTTGCTTGAAGTAGATATAGTTTATTCTTATTTTTTGTTTTTATATTTTTATAATTTATTTTATGCGGATGCTATTCCTATAAACGTAGCTAGGCATATTTTAGATGCATTTTAACTATTTACATAAGTAACCTATTATTTTATATGTATATGTATGCATGTATGTATGTATATTTCATTGTTATTAGTATTCACAGTTCGAAATTGTAGTGCTTTAGGTGCTTATTAGTGGCATGCTGTATGAAGAGATATAGTTTGGAAAACCAATTTTTAGAAGAAAGGACAACATGTCTATCGTATAAAAAACGTATGATACTTCTAGAAAGAAATACTGATATTCTTGAAAAGTTCAAACAAAACACGAAAAACCACCAAAACTCCTCAGAGGTAGCGAAGCTGTGCCTAAAAGTCCAGATAAAATCATGAAAAACCTCAAGAGGATCCCGTAAATACCAGACGAAATCTCAAAGAATGCTAGTTGCCAAAAATGTTTAGAAAAGACTCGCCTAAAATCCCCAAGGAACCCTACAAGGCATTAAAATAAAAATACGGCAAGTAAATTTAATCAAAATGGACAAATAAAAATTAAAATAAAAGAAAAAATATAAATATCCTTTAAAAGTTAAAGAAACTGCGTTTTGAACTAATTTGAGTCAATTTGATGTCTAATCTAAAAATTATGGCAAAATCAAATTTTAAGAATTACATTAAAGAGAAAAAAATATATGTTTCTTCTAAAATTTAATGTTTTTCTTAAACAATAAAATCCAAAAATTAAATGAAAACAAAAAACAAAACGAAGAAAATAAAAAATAGTTAGCCGAAAAAATTATAAGCTTCTTAAATTTAAATAAAATAAAAAAAATTTTTAAATCTAAAAAAAAAATATATAAAATTATTTTATAAAAAGTTGAGGAAGTTAAACAAATCTTTATACAAATTTTTTAAACAATAAAATAGAAAAAATATAAAAAAAAGAATAAGAAATAAAAAAGAAAAGAAGTCCGCTGCTCGAGAACTCGAACCTCAAACGCTGCGCTAGTGCTTTGATCACTCGGCCATTGCGACTGTTGGAGCGCTGCGAATAAAAGGATATACAAGTGGTTTCAAAAGAGAAAGAAAGGGAGCTTTGTTTGGTAAGACACTCGTCTCTGAATAAACATAAACTTTCAAGCTATCTTGTCACTGCGACCCGAGGTCTATTGTGTGTGCCCTCAGAGCTCATCATAACACCTCGTCAAGCCCTAGTGCTCTGATGAAACCGACCAGTTTCGAGGGCTGTAGAGAATGAATGTCTGAAGCTTCCGGCCACAGCCTTCCCAAGAGTGTTCCTTCCTCTCGCCACCTTAACACAATCTAAGAGGAGATGCCGTGAGGTTTCTGGTACCCTGTCGCAGTAGCGGTAGCAGTCGTCTGCGCTAATCCCTAGGGTATGCATATGGGCCCGCGGCCTGCAGTGACTTGTTAGCAGTCCTGTAATAAATCTCAAATTAGTCTTGTGGAGTGTGATTAGTTCTCTGGCTTCCTAGACTCCTAGAAGTTCTTTCGCCTACCTTAGTGGGTGATGCGTAACGAATAAGGAGACTTTGAAGCAGATGGTGAGCGATTGGGCTAAGATGATATAAGCTTCTGTTTTTAATCAGACTATGGGTACCACCAGTTTGGTTGATAAGCACTCGTAGAATAAGAAGGAGAAAGACATCATAAATCTGCACCTGAGTACAGCTTTTGGGTATCGTTATTGTTGAATGTAGTTTATCGAGGATCTTGAACTATATAACTTCCATAAACCAACTGTTTCGCTTCGGTAAAAACAAGGCAATTACTAAAGTGCAGCTCGATCTACTGCTCGTAATTTTTAGAATATTCCTAGCACTTACCTGTAACAACAAGCGCTGAAGTATGTAAAGAAACAACTTTAACCACAGATATCGCTCAAAGATACTAAGTAGATAATCGTGGACTTACGATTTGAGGACTCTATTCGGTTCCAAGGGCTCAAGCTTAATAACAAAGAAGGCTGTATATGCTTGACCATCTTATATTTTGATGTCCTTAATGAACGTTCGAAGTTCATGTCAAAAATATGAACCGCTATGAAAAGCTCTTAACTAGATCCAGGGACAAATTGAAATACTATGACGATTAATGTTTGCATATTAACAAGATCTTTTGTTTAGGTTGGTAGCATTTGGGATAGTTAGCGTGATCTTTGAAAAGAGTTTAGCTTTGTTGAGTGAAAAACTGTTAGAAATTTCGCCTTTAGGCTATCGAAGTTTATAGATCTTACGCTAAAAATTTTATTACAAAAATCCTTGGGATAAATATTATTTCGTTATATATGAGCTATAAGAACACATAAAATCTTTGAATATGCTGAAAATCACGTTTCTTAATTTTTCATGAGTTTTCTCATTGCTTCCACTCGATCGACGAATTTAGCCGTTACCTTATGCGTAAGAATATTCTACAAAGTCCATGCATATATCTTCCATAAACTATGTTTCCTTTGAATCTCTGGATATAACGATTTTAACACCAAAACACCATCAAGTATCTATATTCAGCTATACATACCCAGCATACTGTTCTTCTTTAGTGTTTAGCTAAGTCGTTATTCTGTACGTATTCTTTGCTTTGCCTGGGCTAGTCACTACATATTTTTCACTAAATATAATATTTTGCATATTTGTATGGTACAGTAATCTCTCTTAGCAGTTAATTACTTAACGTAGTTTAGCTTACGGTTGCTTAATGCTCCAATCTTATTAGCACTGCGATAGTTTCCCAGTGACTCGCTATCTGCCTAGAAAAGCAAGCGCTACTTACCAAAGCACTTTTTCATGAGCCGAGTGAGAATTACAATTAATTGAGACCTTATACCCTATCGCTTGGTCCGAAGCTACTAAAATATGTTGTTGTTGTAGCAGTTATGCTTTGCTGCGCTTGCGCTTGAGCTTGCGGGTGTGTGGGTGTGCTGTTGGCGGCTGTGACTGTGACTGTGAGTGCTTGGGTTTCGGTTTGGTTGTGGGCGGCGGGCGTATTACTATAATTACTACTAATAATATTCTTAGCGGCGCTACTCTTCTGCGGCGAGGCGCTATATGCATTCAAGCAACTATCCGAGCTTTTCTGAGCTACGCCTGCCAAACTACTACTATTCATATTACAACTATTATTGCTAGCATTAAAATTACTATTATGACTTGCAGTTGAATGCTGTTGTTTTTCTAGCTGTTGCTGTGATTTATCACCTGATGTAAGCGATTGCTGTTGCTGCTGCTGCTGCTGCTTGTAGGACTGATATGCATCCGAGGATACGGCCGACCATGAGCCATCTTTCGCCTTCACATACAAATGTTGCTTACTTGGCTGCTTGCTGCCAAAGCTGTGATTGTAGTTTGTCTGTTGCTGATGCTGATGCTGGGATTGGTGGGTTGGTTGTGGGTGGCTGATGTGTGAGTGTGCAAGCGACTGCTTCTCGGTGGCTATGGAGGCGCTGGAAGTCCAATCGTTAAGCAGTTGATTCGTTGATGTGCTAAGTACAGCGCCAAAGTCGTTGGCCGTAGCGCAGCTGCTGTTAGTGTAGTCAACACCGCCGCCGCCGCCTGCCAGTTCGCCATCATCGCCGCCTGTGAGAAAGTCAAAGTGTGCGGCGCTGCTCTTTGCGGTGCTTAGAGATAACACATTGCCGCCGCCGCTGCCGCCACCTCCACCGCCACCAATGTGGTTGATGAGCAGCTGTGATTTATTGTTGCTGGCGCTTACATTGCCGCTACCATAGTGATTGCCAAAGTTAATGTTATTTTCGCTTTTGAATATTTTCGGATGTCGTTGGCGTCGCAAAGTGCCCGCGCCACCACCGCTTACCATCTGCGCGGCCAAAGTGGTGTTGGCAAAGGCGCCAAGTCCTTGGCGTAGCGCATTGCTGGCGGCTAGTAGCTGCTGTTGTTGCTGCTGCTGTTGTTGTAATTGGCGTTGATTAGCGCTAGCGCTGACATTGCTGCTATTGGCGATGGGGGCGTTGGTGTTGAAGGGATTCAGGCGCGGCATAAGCGCTGTCGTATTTGTCGACGCGCCAATACTATCACTGCCCGCGGAGCTGGACGCGGTTGCGCCAGACGAGGCAGACGAGCCATTTGTGGGTGTGGGCGAGATGCGACTTTGATTGCTCATGAGATCCAGTTTATTTTCGGTAATGTTGATTTTTTGTTGACTGCCAGCGCAGCTGCCGCCATAGAGACTTTTCGCGTCGAGCGCATTGGAGAGTGAAACTTTCTTGTTGTTGACGCTGCGCGCTGGTGAGGCGCTCAAAATTGCCGTAGAAGCGGTGGAGGCGGTCATTTTGTCATTGAAGGGATTGGCCGCAGCCAAATCGATGAGTCCAGCGTAGTGGGCGCTAGGTGGCGCAGAATACATGCCAGCAGCGCGATAGTCATCGTGCTTGCTGTGTGCTGGACTATTGTTATTGTTGTTGCTGCCACTGTTGCCGGTATTGTTTAGTTGGCGTGTTGCCTTGCCATTGGCCGATGCCGGCGGCAATGGTGTCGTTTTCATCGTCGTCGTCGTGGTGGTGGCGGCAGTGCCGGTGATGCCATAGCGATTCTGATAGAGTTTGGCATTTGCGACCAAATTTGTTGTTGCATACGCGCCACAGCTATCATAGAGCGCATTGCCAGCGAGCGCTGGCATATTGTTGCCATTACCACCGGATGTTTGCTGCAGTATGGCATGTGCATTTCCGTTTGGCGTTACGTGTGCCAGCGCGCCGTTCGGCGATTTGAATGTTGAACATGCAACCTCTGCATAATCGGGCATGTTAAGCGGTGTTAGGCTGTAGGAAGAGAAGAGCAAATGGGGGAAAAAAGAGTTTCAGTTAGCTAAGGCTTGATCAAGTGGATAGAGCTGGGTTAAGCGTTTGCATGCGTGTTGGTGTTTTTGATGGAGTTTTTGTTTTCATTGCTGTTTTCGCTGTTATTTCCTGACAAACGAGCGAACATTTCCATTTGAACGGAAATGCATAGTACAAATATAGCTACATACATACCTAATACCATTTTATGTTACCCACCCACGTACGCGCGCGCGCTCTAAATTTTGGAAAGGAGCTTGCATGCCTTACCACAACACTAGCTATAAGTTCATGCAACAACGCCCGCAAAACGCGACATATTGCAACATAACGTTGCATGTTCAATTCATATGCAGCTACTTCAATTGTTTTGTTGCATGTCGTTGTGGCATTTCGTTCATTTTTTTTTGTTTTCCTCTCCCTCATTCCGATTTTTCGACCGGAGTTATAGTCGCTTGCATGTCGCAACTGGTTGGGGGTTTTGTTTTTACCGGAAATTGTTGTTGTTTTTTGGCAAAATGATTGAGTATTTATGAGCGTTGTTTGGTCTGGTCATGCAAAGTTACACTCACACAATTGCACCTACAATTGCTTTTGCATTCTCTTAAACAGCACATTAAGTCATTGGTCCTCCTCCTACAGTGGCGGTGGAACAGCTGCTCGTTAGCGTCGTCTGTACAGGCGTCTATGGTCAGCGGTTTTATTGCAATGCATACAGAGAAGAGTAGAGGTAGAGTAGCTATACATGCGCGCGGAAACGGAAAAGCACCATGGCAGGAAAGTGGCAAAATAAATCGCGTTAAATGAAGACATTTAATAGAATAAATTAACGCTAATTGAATTTCTCAATAAAAAGCTTGTACTATGTTAGTGCTGTGTTCTAGAATTCCGAATTTCAATTCAAATTGTCTTAAGGCCGAGAGAGCTGAGACACTGAAGTAAATCAGAAGCCTGATCACTAGCGAGCGCTGAGGCTTTGCAAACGCAAGGAGCTCCTGTGATAGCCCACTCCAGGCCAAAAGGATCTGCCAGTTTCTCATGTGCTAGCTTTAGCCCAGTGCTCGCTGAGCTTACAGGAGACCCAAACGCTCAGGAGTATACCGCAGGAGGACAGAGGCATTCCTAGTTGCTCCCTGTCGGGCGATAAGATTTCAAGGGTGTCTTTTATTGTCAGGTCATCAGCTACGCAGTTTCGTGTGATGTCACTGTGACCCTGAACCTCAACTAGCGTTATAAAGAAGTATTCGACGCGATTGATTGGCATTCCCGCACCGATCTAGAGTACACCAACATAGCGTTTAGGGCCCTGATGGCCGCCTGACTATCCGAGTATATTCTAACCTGCCTAAGTGGCGTCACACTCTTTAGGAGCGGGTCTACCGCTTCCTTGATGACAGCTGTTTCCATCTAAAAGACACCGCAGGAGTCCTGAAGCCTAACATTGCAAAATTCTCGACAGAAGACTCCTCCACCAACTCTGCGATTCAAGAGTGTACCGCAGCAGGATGGAAGCGTTGCTAGTTGCTCCATATCTGGTGATAAGGTTTCAGATTATCTTTCTTTGCCCTCGCCAACCCTCCTCAATGTTTTGATCCGCCTGTGAAGAAGTTTACCGCTCCCTTTTTCCAGTAACCCCGCCCACCCAGTCCTCTCTTGAAGGAATGCAGATAGAGAAGGAGCTGATGAGAGCCATTTAGGGGGCGCGGTAATCTATCTTTTTAGGGACGAAGTCAAAGACCTCCAGTGAGTGTAGGATTCCTCTATACACTTTACTAATTTGTCCACTATCCACCCACCTGCTCTTGCAATAAGCCTGTTCAGTTCTCGAAAGACAGTAATGAAGAATCTCGTTTCTTATGTGCAGGTCTTCGGGATCAACCCTCCAGGCCTTTGAGATGTAGCCGGATGTAGTCAATTGCACGACATCTGTAGAGCCTTTTGCAAGTACCGTAAGGGTGTGGGATTGCTCGTGAGTTTTCCATGACTCCCTCTCCGATGTTCCAATTCCGGACTTTCTTTCCCCCAATCCGACTTAATAAAGTCTTCAGTCAAAGAACTAGCCAAGTTTTTGACCTAAAGAAAAGGTAATTTCAATGGCCGATTCAAAAGCTCCCTATCCCAGCACATTCTCAATACATTTTCATTTAATATAGGGCATTTTTTAACCGAGCTCTGAGATAGGGCGTTCTGCAATCAAATTATGAGATAAGTGTTTTTCAATGAAATTATGAAGTAGGGCGTTCTTGAAAAGTTTTCTGATATACGGCGTTTCCGAACTACCGAGATATGTAGGTCGATCTTCTACTCAGGTATCGGGGATTAGTATTCCAGCCATTTTTTTGGTTGTATTCGCTCTATGCTGGAAAACAGAATTATTCAAGGGAAAAGCGGAGATAGTCTAGTAACTACATAGATATGTGAGCAGAGGCCCTCCGCAGGGAGGTGTACACTCCCTACTCCTGTCAGTGGTAGCGTTGAGCGGCATTTTGGAGGAACTAAATAAGGGAGAGGTTAAAGTGGTTGCAATAGAAATGAGATACCCCAATTTAGACTTACATCCATAGGCGGAAAGATTGCTGTCGATATGGTATCGTAGCACAGGTTCTGCTTTTCAGTCGTTTCAACTTAAACTAAGAACTTTTATTTTACAACTGGTGTTTTTGCTTTGTAACCCTATTTGTGCAATGAGCAACGAAAAAGTTCTCATCAGGCACCGCGAAGCAAGCTAGTCATTTGCTAGTTACTAGATACATATCGTCGTTTAAAGTGCATAACCGCGTATCAACAAAATGCAAAACCGCGTATCAGCAAAATGCAAAACCGGGTATGTGAAGTTGTAGAAATTATTTTCTAGAGCGTAAAAACACTCATATTTCAAAATGATTCCCTTTTTTATAAAGCAATCGCATTTCTGGCTAGTATATTTCAGGACGAATGGATAAGGATTGAGCCAAGAGCTTGTGTGAGCAAATCCAATTTTTGGCAGCCAATGTCAGTTACGCGGTTTTGCAGAATAACGATACGCGGTTTTTTACGTTAAACAACGATATGTATGTATATTAGAGCTCTCGATTTTGTTCGCACATTTTCAAACAGCCCGGGTATATGAGCAGCGAGTACTCGCACACTTGTTCAATGCTCATTACTCGAAAATATTCGAGCATGAGCTCGAGCAATTCGAGTTTTTTCGAGTACTTTGAGCAATGTTTTTTTTATTATATTGACATTTTTGGTAGCAACTTTTTAAATTTTTCAAATTATTGATATATAATGCAAAGATTGTTACATTGGTATTTAATAATATAATTTATTTAACATAAATTAGAAAGCAGCTGCTGACAAATACAATTTACAAATTTTCTTTTGTTTATGAAATTGTTCAAAAACTCGAAAATTTTGAACAAACATTTGAGCAGTTGAGCAATGAACGAGTTTCGAGCGAGTATCGAGCTACTCGCATTGCTCGATACCCGGGTAACTAGAGCTCTAATGTATATACAATTGCTTTTAATTATAGGCAACACCCAAGTCTAAAGAAATACCATCATTTCGGATATTTTTTCACAATAACAAATAGTCCTGTAAATAATAGAAAATACCTGCAATAAACAGGATTCTGAAAGTGCCAATTAAATCGTTTAATTGCAATTTCTTTTATATACTTGAAAGGTAAAAAATTTAACGCGTGATCAATACTACAATAAAAAACTGTCATTCACTGACTCACTGACAGTTGTGTGCCTTTAATAGACATCAAACAACAAAAAAAAAAAAACAAAGGTTCGGAATTCGAAGCGCTGCTGTGCATAGAGTGGGAAGGAAGTTGAAGTGCAAAACGTTGGCATATTAAAAAAAAAATTGTTCAATGTTAATGGCTTTGATGGCAATAAATTTTACTGCGAAGCACACGTTTCAAATGTAAAGCGGATATAATGAAATTTCCTAGTGAAAATATGGTTGATGCACAGGAAATGAACTGCGCGAGTGTCAAGGATGAGGCGAGAAGCCCAAGAGGAGCAGCACAACAGGCGGTGGTTAAGTGAAGAGAGGGAAACAATACTTGCGTAATAAAGCAAATAAATGCGTAAAGCGGCCACAAGTAAACACTGAAAAACAACAGCTATAAAAACAGCAAATAAATGCAGCAACATGGGTGTTGCCTATCAAGTGCGTCACGATTGCAATACTGCGGCGTACGCCTCCCCCTTTGTTGCCGCTCGCATTAAATTTTAAGCAACACAAAAAAGGCATACGCAATGTGAAGTACCCCCCCCCCCCCCGCCCCCCCTTCTTGAGAGGAGTTGCTGTCGTGCGTGAAGGGGGACGTATGTAGTTAAGTAGGTGGAGTAGGGTTACTACCCATTTCGGTGAAATTCATTAAGCGCAGCCAAAGGTGGGTTGGCCGCCATGCAAATAAGCAAACAGCGGCGCTGGCAGGAAAAAAACAATACAACAACGCCGACAGACAGTTTGATAGACAAACCCAAGCAAGGAGTAGAGGAAGCGATACCGAAATATTAAAATTTTTTTTGTTTTACCATTGCTGTTTTTCATTGCCAATGTTGCTATTGCTGTTGCTATGACTGGCAGCTGTTGTTTACCCCATTGCTGTTTTTCTTTTAACTGTTTCTGCTCCGCTGACAGCTTGCAGCGGTGGGTGGGCATTGAACACGTGGCTGCCGTTCTCACTCCACTCCACGCCATGGAGTTTTGTGGGCCAGCTCTTGTCTTTCTTTAACCAAATAAGCCAACCGGCGGCATTCTAATTTTTTGGCTATTCTTTCGTGCGTTTTCTTCGGCACTTTTCCAAAATGCACTCAAGTGTAACACTTTAATGGCTTAGCAGACTTAGCAGAGTTGGTGGTTGCCACTAGCGAATGATGGTTTTTAATTATACGAATTTCTTCAGGATTAAGTAAGTAGTGTACTTCTATGGAAAGGAGGCCCACTTGGAAATGATACTTTTTTTTTGAGGGAGTGGG